GGGTGCTGTAGTCCAAGTCCTTGCTGTTGATTGGGAAGCTGACCCTGTCTTCTTGCCCAGAATGTCTCGATCTCTTGGTTTCGACGTTGATAGTGCTGCAACTCAGGAATAGTCAAGGTTCCCGAGAGCCCAGGTTCAGTGAAGTCGCCGGGATTTGCGTAGAGCAAACGAGGGTCGATATCGTGGTTCGTGGGTGGTCTTGTCGTCATCGCGAAAGCTGAAGATCCTGGTTGATTATCCACAGATGAATGGGAATATTTTGGCACTGATGTGCATGTAAGCATCCACAATTAAGCAAAGAGTTCGCTGCAAAAGAGAGTCTACGGCCTGTGTAGCAGTTGAAATGTGGACAGCGTAGAGAAACCGAGGGTGTATATATGACATTACCGAGATGAACGGGCGGAACTGTGAACAGTGTGGGTTGGATGTAGGGCTTAAATGGGGTGAAGAGCGTTGTGTTTGTGACGGTGTGGTAGCAAATCTGGTGAAAGCGCGTACATACCTCTCGAATTTTCAGCCGAAATCTGCATGAGCCGTACACTCTCGTACTTCTTCCATGCTTCACTAGGCTGCGCATTGCGATGCAGCAGCTCGTAGGGTCCCTTTAGCTGCGCCCGCCGGATGAGAAACCTCGCCAGAGGCTGCAGGTTATCCGTGAGTCCATTAAGCTCGGCTGGGAGGCCTTGGTGTCTACGTTCGATCGCGAAGAACACGCGCTCAAAAAAGAGATCGTCGCCGTCGATAGAAGATTTCTGGAACGGATCAGCACCCCGGCGGCGGTCAAAGTGAACAAATGAGGGAACTTACGGGCTGGAAGCTAGAGGTCTCGAGCGCTCGCTGGACGTACGGCTCAATGTCGAGATCGTCACGCAACAAGTGCTTGAAGGCGTAGCGCAGGTAGGGTGTGAGGGTCTGCGCAACCCATTGCGGATAAACGGGGAGTATCGGAGCGCTCATTCTGGCGTTCCTGTGGCTGGGACAAAAGTCGTTGCGCGGTCGGTGAGGGGAAATGTTGAAAGCGGCGACGAGGATTTAAGAAAGTGAAATCGTAGTATGCGAGACAGTTCATCGAATTCACCACGACAAAGCTGCGACAAGGATCGAACAAAGTGAAAAAGGGCAGAGTATGTGAGACAATTTCCCAGCTTCACCATGAGAACCAGGGACAAGAATTGATGGTGCGAGATAGCCTACTGAGTTCATCTCGACTTCACCACGACTTCCGTAGACCTCAAGTGGGTGAACTTTGCTCTATAGCATATCGGAAATTCGAGGCGAATGACAACGATGATTGCCTTCGCCTACGAGCCACATCCCGCGCGAGAATAGTGTAAACCATGGTAAGCAATTCATAAAGATCAAGCAGTCGTTATCCTCGAGGTATTGCCTGAACCTATTCAAAGTAGTCTCGTAACCAGGTAGAGCGCATCGAAGGCTCGGCGGAAAGATAAAACTGGGGAATAGCTTGTACAACGCTTCGCATGCAGCAGGAAAATGCAGCGCTGCGTCTCTAGTAGAAGCTATCGAGTGTCTGAGTTGGCAGAAGTGATTTGAGATGAAGATGGATGAGGATTGGCAAGCGCAGTCACGTCCACATACGGGTAGGGGCGCGTCAGGGACGCGACTAACAAAAGCGGGGCGATGACGCACTCACTATCATCCGCCTGTCGCCAAACTCGCACCTCATTCACGCTCATTGACATTTTCAGTACGGATCTCTCGGGCCAAACATATGGCTCTTACTCGTCGTAGCTCGCAGCTTTGCATGCTGACGGGTTGTCTCAGACCCCACTGCGAAGCCAAGGCACCAACACGGCGCAGCGCAACTCGGGCGCATAATACGCACATGTACACGTCCTTCTTCTTGGCTACCATCGATCGCATCCAGCGAGTACTTATCCACTGCGTAAGCTTTCAGTGTGGGCAGATCAACAGTGCCGTATAGGGAAGAACATCGTATGGCTGCATGGCTACTTTTCTTCTCGACAAGAGAGAGCCATATCAGCACAGCTATGCTCAAAGACTCGACTAACTGTGTCTTGGCCCTTCTTTGTCAGACCGGGTCATTCGTAGGATTAACGTTACTGTGACCTAGCGGCGAGGAGAGACAATGGATGACGGCGTGGGGCGTAGTCGACTGTCACCTTTTTTTTAGCCAGCCACTGACAGGAAAACGCGACACTCCACCGGCCACGCCATGTTTCTTGACCATTCCACGAGGACAAGCTGAGAAGGAAATCGATATTTGGTCACAGTTTGGGTCCTGTACGACGGCAAGAAAGACACTTCATTGGTAGCGATGCAGAGAGAGAAAGCTGAGTGAGACCACCCAGTGAATTCACTTCACCATTCCGCCCCAATTTTGTCTCCCATAAAGCGACAACTCTGACCCCCTCGACTCTTCTAAGCACCTCCTGGACAACCACCGAGTATACCACTTTACTTCCTCTCGAATCACCAAGTCAAGATGAAGTTCGCTCTTTTCATCAGCACCTTGCTCTACACTGCCACTGTCCTAGCCGCTCCTGGAGCTGTGCGCCTCCCTAAACCTTGCTTCTAAGAACTCCATTGACACTATACTACCAGGTCTCTCTCAAGCGCTCCTTCAAGACCATCGCAGTCCGCGACAACGACAACGTCGAGGGTACTGTGCAAGTTGCCTGTATCGAGTGTCCATGTACAGTAAGTCTCCTCGTTGTCGGCCTTTTCCTCTCTAAGGGCGGCGCATGGAGTATCATCAAGATTCGCTGACGGCGCCTCCAGGGTTTTACTGGCGATTGTCAATGCGTCTCGGGGGGATGCTGCTGTGATGATAACGGCCATGTCGAGGTGCCTGAGGGTGGCTGGAAGGCTTAGACAACGGCCGTGGTCAGCGCCCCCGCAATCGTTGTCCGGTCTTTGGTCTGGCTGTCATCTCTTTTCACGATGGCATCAGGCAGTATTCCTTCTTGAGTATGTTGGTAGGCACTGCTGTTTGTATCAACAGATTGTTACGAGACGAGTGGACAACGAAATTGGAAACATCTTCTTGATTGAGTCTCAGGCATTGTCACTGCCTAGTCATATATATATAGTTTGAGACATATATCCATGATCCTTGAAACCTGTCATTTGCCGTGAAGTCGTACATCCATCCCTTATACATCCACATGCTTGCACCCCAGAAGACCTCACTCAGGATACGTCCATTCTGGTCTTGTGGTGACAAATCACTCCTCAAGAACGAGGCCAAGTGCAGTTCTGCTTGAGACAGCAGCCGTTGACGACACATGTGCAGCCACCGTAGAAACCCTAGACGCATATTCATCAGCCAGGTACAGTATTGTTCGTTCTGCGATAGATAGCAGAGGAGATAACTTACGTTGCATGGACACTCGACACATGCCGTGAGAGTATCGGCGACTGTGGCACCGCCGCCATCAACGCCAGTGTCAGCCTCGATGAAGGAGCGCTTGAGGGAGATCTTTGGGAAGTGACTCTCAGCAATAGTCTCAAACAGGATGACGGTACATGGGGATTAGAACTTACAGCTCCAGGGGCGGCCATGGTTGTTCCGAAGAGGAGAGTGGCGATGATGGTGGTAGCCTTCATGTCTGCGACTTGGTGCTTGGTTGCTGGATGTAATGGAGATTGCCGTACTGAGTGTGGTGGAAAGTCTGAAGCAGTTGATGATTGTGAGCGAAAGCAAGGTGAGGATGTTCAGCAAGGAGAAGAAACGGGGGATTATATGCTGTGTGCGACTGCTTCCCCAGAATGCGGGTAGCTAGCGTAGAAACTTCATACAGCAAGCACGCCCGCGTTGAGCCTGTTGAGCCTGTTGAGCTTGGACTTTTGCGGTCTTCTAGACCGCGAGTGACTGCCATTCTCACCCGGCAGGGGATTAATGTGCTCACGGCAGGAGGCGACCGGGCGACTGCGGCTTCCAGACTGCGTCGGCCTGCCACGCAACCCGAGGTCGCTCCTGAAAAGGCTGGCCTGGAGCTGGAGCTTTAGTCTCCATCGTGACGGGTCTATACATCCCCACTGGAGGAGCCACTTCAAGGATGCTCTAAGAGTTCCTGTAATTTCCAAGCTCTTACTGAGTTCTTCCAATGGTGCCTGCTCTGGCAATGTGAAGTAGTTCAAAATGTGTCTTGAGCTGATCCTAAAGTCATTCTCCTTAACTTCGGCTAAGAAGATTACGAGACTGATACAGCAACGAAGTAGGTATTGTAGTCGACCAGCGCGACTTTGCGTAGATACCACTCGCGAGACGAACCCAACGTAATTCAAGAAAGACGAAATGACTTCTACAAATGGAGAGCGGTGTTACTCGACGAGAGCCCGACTTTTTTCAGCATGTTCAAGAAGGCAAACAAATAAAAGAGGTGCTGGAGCAAGTAAGTCGGATTGGGTGGCTTGTCAGCTTTGGATAGGGATTGGTATGGAGATGAAGATAGTGTCAGTCGATTGAATCTTCGAGGGACGAAGGATAACGCGGTTGTGTTTTTTGTTCGCTGCGGGGTCAAGTCGAACAGAAAGTAAAGGGAGTGGAGTGGTGGTTGCGACTGACTGCCAAGACGTGCCGCGTGCGCGAAGACAGCCGTCCGTGGTCATTCCGTCACTAAACCTCGTTCTTTGATTGCTTACCTCAAGGAGCCTCTGCATGCCCATGTCCAATGGACTCGTTGAGCGGCGTGTCTTCTTCACGCAGCAGCAAGAACGTCTGAACGGTCTAGCCTCTGCGCTGCAGGGTCCCACACCTGATAGCTTCACGTCGACGTCATCATGCCGAAACCGCGACGCGCAACGCCATCTTCAACAGGCTGTCGCGGCCAGCGAGGACGATATACCACCTCCAATATGAGGCTGTGATCCCTACGACACTAAATTCTAGCCTCTGCTAATATTAGATGCCTCTCTGGGCCAAGTCGTCGAACTCCGCGCTGCCCGCATTCCAGCGATCACCCAGTCACCTCTCGAGAGTTGCGCGCATCGCTTGTGGCAGACACATCGCAAACATGTCGACTGACACAAAGCAGCAAAAGAGCGCCAAGTTTGGCCATCTGCCTCTATCCACATCTGGGCCACAGGAAACCAGCCTGACTGTACGGCATGCACACACTCGAGTAGCGATGGGGCTAACACACTGTGTAGGGCAATGCACTTCTACGAACACCCTACTTCAACAAGGGCTCGGCCTTCACCAAAGAAGAGCGCGATGTCTTCAAGCTTCATGGGCTCCTTCCCACCAACGTCCAGACCCTCGACGAGCAGGTCAAGCGCGCATACGCCCAGTACTGCTCCCGACCGAATGACCTCGCCAAGAACACCTTCATGACGAGTCTGAAGGAGCAGAACGAAGTATTATACTACAGGGTATGCGACGGTTGATGGTGTCGGTCATGGCATGGCATGGCTGACGGCTGCAGCTCATCCTCGACCACCTCAAGGAGATGTTTTCGGTCATCTATACCCCCACTGAAGGCGAGGCGATTGCCGACTATTCCAAGATCTTCCGGCGACCTGAAGGTTGCTTCCTCAACATCGACGATGCAGACCGCGTCGAGGACGATATCAAGCAATGGGGAAATCCCGACGATATCGATGTGATAGTCGTGAGCGACGGGCAACAGATACTCGGCATTGGCGATCAGGGTGTAGGAGCCATCCTCATCAGCATAGCGAAGCTCGTCATCTACACTCTGTGCGCAGGTATACATCCTTCGCGAACACTCCCTGTGGTCCTTGACTGCGGCACCGATGTCAGTAGAGAGACCCGAATCAGATGCGCATTGCTAACGAGAGTAGAACAAAGACCTTCTCAACGACGAGCTTTATCTTGGCATGCGAAAAGAGCGAGTATACGGCGAGCGATACGATGACTTCGTCGACAAGTTCGTAAAGGCTGCGAGAAAACACTACCCCAAAGCCTACATCCACTTCGAGGATTTCGGATTGAACAACGCGCGAAGGATTCTGGACAAATACACACCTGAGATCGCATGTTTCAATGACGACGTACAAGGCACCGGCTGCGTAACGCTTGCAGCCATCATGGCAGCTTTCAAAGTGAGCGGAACTAAATGGGAAGATGCTCGCTTTGTCATGTTTGGCTCGGGGTCGGCAGGCACGGGAATTGCGGACCAGATTCAGGATGCTATCGTACAGAATACCGGAAAGTCGAAGGAAGAAGCCGGGCGCCAAATTTGGTATGCTACTTCACATCCTCAGCCGTCAAACCCACGCTGACCTCCATACAGGTGCGTTGATAAGCCTGGTCTCCTTTTACAAGGCAAGAAGGATCAGCTCACTCCAGCCCAACTTCCGTTTGCGCGAGAGGACAAGGAGTGGGAGGGCAAAGAACATGGCGATCTTCTGTCCGTCATCAAGGAGGTGAAGCCACACGTTCTCATCGGTACCTCGACCAAGCCAGGGTCGTTCTCAGAAGACGTCGTTCGAGCGATGGCGAAGCACGTCGAGCGCCCTGTCATATTCCCACTATCGAACCCAACCAAACTCCATGAGGCCAAGCCGCAGGATTTATTCGACTGGACCGATGGCAAAGCGCTGGTGGCAACCGGTTCGCCATTTCCACCGGTCAAACACAATGGCAAGGAATACGATATCTGTGAGTCTACAATTTTCGTTCCGTAATGATGTTGCTGACCCCTCCAAGCTGAATGTAACAACTCGGTAACGTTCCCTGGCATCGGCCTAGGCGCTGTCCTCTCCCGAACCCGCCTTATGACTCCCGCTCTCCTCGTCGCAGCTGTACAAGCCCTTGCCTCGGAGGCTCCTGTTCTGAACAACCGCGGAGCCGGTCTCTTACCAGACGTCGAAGACGTGCGCGAAATCAGTGTCCAGATCGCGAAGAGTGTGATCAAGAAGGCTGTGGAGGATGATCTGGCCCAAGAGAAGGATATACCAAGTGACGATGCAGATCTAGAGGAGTGGATCAGAGAGCAGATGTGGGATGCCAAATACCGTCCGTTGAAATTGGTCGAACACAGCAGTGCGACTGCACATGCGAGAGGAGAAGCAGGCACAGCGAGTGGGCAAAGAGAAGCAAAGCACTAATGGTAGAGGGACATACATTGCCTGACTCTTCGTCACCAATCTGATGTATCATCTCGCCCAGCGGTCCTCTCTTTCTCATTCAATCATGACATCGAAACACGTACTGTACTTGTTCGCACCGTCAAAATTCCACACCCATACCATCATATGCCGACCCTTCTCCATACACTCAGGCCTATACCGCAACGTTAGCAGGGGAACTCCTCCGACCACATCTGCCCCCGCTCCTAACAACACAGCACCAACGAAAAGGAGATGGACTTACAAATGCACCGTCTGCCAGTTTCCCTTATCCTGCAGCGCCGGCGGCGCCGTTACCTTCAGATCCGCCGGGTACGCAAAACTTTCTTCACTAAACCCATTATCCTGCACAAGATTCTCTTTTGTCAATTCCTTCACATCCACAATCTCCTTCTCCTTACTACCAGCCCAGTACACAGACACGCGCCCCGGATCGCCCTTCTCCACGCCACCGAAATTACCCCGACTGTGCCCGTTGCCGCCGAACATGAGTGTTATGGACGACCCGGCTGCAGCCGTTGCCATCGGGGCCGGCGCGTCGTGGTGGGGTGGCTTGCTACCTGGTTCTTGCGGGATCGTAGGAGTTAGGTATTGCGCTGGCGCGCGTTGGCGGGGGTGGCAGGCGTGCGTGTCGCCCTTTGAGGCTGCGGCGGGGAGATCCCATAGATCTGGCGTTGTCAGTAGGTGTGGTTGAGAGGAAAAAGAAGAATACACGCACATTCTATGCCTTCGTCTCTCCAATCGCCTGGGTTCTGCTTTGCGCGCGGCCAGCCGTGGCATAAGTTTGCGAAATAAGGCATGCTACAAGGGTATTAGACACAGCGCTTTCTCATCTCGTTTATGTGGTGGATTAGAAGTTATATACAGTGGATCGATCGTTCTAGGTGGCGTTTCAAGTGCTGCGGCTGCCATCTCCGCTTTTACACCGGTGTTGTTGTGGTTGGTGCAGTGCAGCCATGAGTGTGCGGCGGCTGTGGTGAGCAGCGTTATTGCTGTGGCTAGAGTGATCAGCTTCATGCTTCTTGGAGGGATGGAGTATTCGGTGAGAATGGGAATTTGCGAAGAAGGGAGACACTAGGGCTACGTAGATCTTGTACTCGAGATTTGGCAATGAAGTTTTGCTATAGAGCAACGGTTCTGCGAATTCAAGTATGTGGTATATGAGAACAGCATTGATAGGAACGTAGATGATTGTACAGATCATGACTGCGGTACTGACAATACACGCATTGCTATTGTTGATCATGAAATTGGTTAAAGGAAATACATCACAATAGCATTGTGCGTGGAGTTGCATGGGTAGGATCAACATTGAAGGAAATGGCATTGAGAAAGGACATGTCAACGACACACTAGTCGAACACTCAATGTTCGCTGGCAGCACATTGAAGCGCCGAAAGTGAGTATTCCAAACGACAATCATCAATCACATGATGCACCCATTGACGCCAAATTCTGAACAACAGAACCCTCTATCTCAAGCTCCATAAAATAATACTCCTACTCTTACAACTATCTCATTCTGCTTCAGGCCTCGGTTCCTTTAAAACTGCACTGTGTTCACATCTTCATATTCCAACCTTATGTCCTTCACGCCGCCAGCGGCCATTACGGTCTGTTTCCCAAGCGACACCAATGTCTTCCCAACGATCCTCTTCACAATAAACCAAGTGATGGAGCTCAACCCCACAGTCCAGTCTTTATAGAAGCGCAAAACGTGCATAACGTAAATATGCACAAAGTTGTCATTGACCTCTTCGCCAGACATAGCTTCGTATACAGCCTGCGCGATACGCATCATGACACGAGAAGTAATCTGAAAGCACAAAGTCTCAAGTGCAAACGCACCCCACCTCTTCAATAGCCTGGGTCCGGTGTCTCCCAACGCCTCGCGGAATGTGCGTCGGGGTTGGTATGCAGACTCGCGGTACGTGGTGTGCAAGCACTGTCTTCTCCTACGTCCAGAGTCTGTCGCGCTTGGAAACCATGTCGATGGCAAGAAGAGGGTTAATCCGGGGAAGGTGATGTTGATTGGGCCTATCGTTGCTGGAGCTTTTTGCTGGGCAATAGGCTCGCCGGGAAAAATTGAGAAGGTGGATGAGCGACGGTAAAGACCTTCCTCTGAATCACTCTCGTACGAAGTAGAGCGGAGTGTAGATTTCTCTAGTGTGAACATCATGTGCACGTAGGGGATCGCAAAGGTGAGTGCGAGGAGGAAGGGTAGGCGAACGGTGGTTTCGAAGAGGAAAAGGGTAACGATTATGGCTACTAGGATGTGGAGCTGATACTAGTTAGTGATGTGACTCTAATTATTCTGGTTGAGGGAATTTTTCTCACCGCATACGATCTGAAGAGTTGAGGCAAAGATTGTTGGCTGTCTTCGAACGCGCTCTTGCACTGCGATATTGAGTCCAGAGGTTCGCTCTCATGTCTCGAACCGCGGCTTTCGCTCGCAGAAATCTGGCTCGATGAATCGTCGGCGTCATAGTAACAAGCTTGATATAAGGAGGGTAGGTCCCGAGAATGGCTGATGCCTCCTAGTCTTTGCGGGCTGGAGTGCACTCGGTTGGGTGTATAATTATGCGATTGTAACGGCATGTTTCTAGATTCGTCGCAGGCGTCGTGCTATATTTCGGAAGATTAGAGAGGTTGTTTTAGCTGTGTGTAGCCTGGAGTGGGTGTGCTTGTGATGTTTGTAGTGGAGTAGAAAGCGGACAAAGAATCGCACTCAACGTCCCGATATGAAAGGCCGCACACGACAATGCAGACTGACGACAATGACTCAAAGAAGTACTCCTCATGGTCTGGAAAGATGCATGCATGGATGGGTTGCTCGATAGTGAGTTTGTTGGGTGTGTACGCAATCTGAATGAGCAGTTACGACTGCGAAAATCGGACCCGAAGTTGCAAGAATTGATGACGATGACCAGTTTGGGTATATAAGAGGATGTACAAGAGTGTTCGAGAAAACGCTATCATCGCGGTCGCTCGTAAAGTCCGTCGCCGTTCGCCATTACCGTGTCACCGCACACATTCCCGTCGTTAAACGCTTTCCCGCGCCTCGGTCTCCCATATCAGAAACTTCACATTATGCTCATAATCCTCATTGTTGTAGTAGTGACCACCGATAGCGTGATCTAAAAGTTCCCTCGCAAAGTAATCGTCTTGTCGTCTTATGAATTTGCAGAACTCTGCGTACTCCCTTCCCAGCACGAATTGAACAAAGCATTCATTCATGACGAATTTCGTGGCATGCGCAATGTCCTCGATGTCTCTCATAGATGGGCTGACGACTTGAGATAAGAAGGACGAGATCGCCGCAGTTGTTGCGGAGCCGCTCAGGGATGCAAGATAGGCGAAGACAGTCGTTATGCCACGCTCTCCGAACGACGACCGTATCCGGTCTTCGCGGTCTTGGCTCGTTCGGATTTCAGCCAGTACTATCAGAGTCCTGCTCCCCAGGCGTTCCACATCGATGTGATATGAGCCCTTTTTCTTGCAATCCGGACCGTTCCGCGCATGTGCGTTCACCCCCGCATCGTGAAAGTCGATTTTGAGGGCCGGGGTTGCGTTATTCGCTATCAGGTGCCGGTTGAGGTAAGCCACAAAGTGGTTGCGCAGGCTGTGCGTGGCCGTGGGGACTTTTTCGGATAGCACGGCAACTGCGTAGTCGTCTGTAGGGTTCGAGATGGTGGGAATGAAGGCTCGAGCTAGGTCCGTGCCCAAGCGATGCGCTAGTCGGTCGTCGCCAAATACATATTTCTGGTAGTCCTTGATGGAAAACGGAAATGCTGTCTCGTCGCGGCCGACGATGTTGTGCAGCGAGAAGACATCCTGAACCATTGAGACTCGAGGGATGCGAGACCCTAAAAGATGAAATTTCGTGGGTCAAAGAGAGTGCGCGAGCATTTTGAGGTCCGCTGGCCGTGTAGTTAGCGGCGACCACCGTCTGGATTTCGACCTGCCAAGAACGGGGCTGTGTAAATGTCACTCTTCTCGAAACCGCCCGTCTTTGACTAAAATGCCGCACAACACGTCATATGCTAGCCTCTCCGATGGACTTGGATTTATGGTAGGTTGAAGCTCCATGCTGATATTCGGATCGTTGCAGATCAATGCTGCCGACTGTGCGACGAGGGGCGAGTGCCGCGTGTCGCTCTTGCTCTTTCACATGTCACCCACTGAAAACTGTCTACAAGACTGAAAGTGCAGTGTGCGCGGTGGGAGCGAAGGCGACTGCCATCAAAAAGCGGTGTCTCCGAGCGCTAGATGACAGTGAGAAGTTTGGAAGCGCCGTCGGAACAGGAACCGCCAGACAGAATAGGTTAACAGGTGCGGAATGATTGTTGCGAAGAAGACGACAGAAGATGGCGGATAGAACGTCCCGTATAGCAGAGCATGTGCCATGTTGTACATATGCCACGGCAAGCTACAACCCAACAAGCAAGTGCGTGAAAGCTTATTCAAAAAGCACGATGCTTGGCAAATGCTTCACATGTATCCGCTCCACCCGTGGAACTCGAGGGCGTTGTCAATGTCAGTTGCCGATTGCCCAATGGCACTACTAGGATTGCTGAACGGAGCAACGCGCACCGATATCCGCTAGCGGGGTGCTTTCGTTCTCTCAAGGCGTGTCTGAGAGCTCCTCGGAACTGATGTCCAAGGAAACCATCGCCAACCACTTCACGCAATCCCACGTAACGCAATGGAAGATTCAGCATGGTTAAATTCCAGGCATCCCCTGAAACTCGGCCGTGATTGGTCTTGGGGTCTATGGGGTTAGACTTGACGAGAGATATAGCGTTGCCGGAGTTGGGGTAGTCTGTGCGAAAATGGCTCATCGACTGTGCAGCAAAGTCACGCTCACCGTTGAGAATTTTTGAACGGAAGCACGATGGACGATGCCACGAAGATGTTCAATCCGTACTCTCGAGAGGTTGTAATGCCGAATGAAGGGCGCTTCATGCTGGCGACACGTAGGTAAAGTAAAGCAGTGTGCTACGCTTCTCCCCACGTGTGGGGCGCGTGGGATGCGAGTATATGGGCGGATCGTGTACCACATCTACGAATTCAGGATCATGTAGACGGGACCCAACCTTGGGAACTTGGACCGATCATGTGCGCTCCTCACCGTTCAAATACACACTGGACGCCTAGGCATTTAGACCGCCCCTTACCTATGCTGCGAGCTACCAGGAGCGCCATACAGGGGCGCTCGCTTGCACTGTGGGTGATGGTTGTCGCTTGTCGAGAGACAACGATCGCACTCGGCTATACGGCAGCTGGCAGCATACAGGCTGCTGCTGCATTGGTTAGGCAGCTACTGCGCAAGGGTACTGGGTAGTTGAAGAAGTCTTATCGTGACCGCAATCACTGAGAGTGTCAGCAACACGCGAGTGGTGTGACTTTCATCCCAAACGCGCGATGCCGGCAGCGATATCGAATATCAGTGGCACCACCAGCTTCACGACTTTGAAAGGCGCAATCGTACTCGGAGACATGTATCAGATGAAGGCTGCAGATACAGACTATAGAGGCAACTGGCGCGTGGACATGAGACCGTGTCGAGCTACTGAGTCAGCCTGTTGATGACGGAGCGGAATCACGAATCGCTTTTTGCCAAGCTTCGGAAGTGGCCTTCCAAGGTTCGGAGCTTCCGACACGCGTCAGCTTGTGCTACCAACACTAACGCGCGCGGCGCGGACACATCACGCGTCAGCTCGGCTCGGCCCATCGCATGTAGTGACGATTGAACGGGTATTACTTCTAGTCTCCTATCTACTTCCAACATCCTCATCTTCGCAGTGGCCGACCTACTCGATCGCGATCTTCACCGAGATGGAACCCTTGGTCGTTTGCGCAACAATCAAGTCGTGGTCGTACGAAATGTCCTCCTTCACGGTGTCCACAAGCTTCGCCCTCGGAAGAACATTGAGGCACATGTACGCGCCCATAATGTACAGCTCACAGTACGCCAGTTGCTCACCAATACAGCTGCGGCTTCCCTTTCCGAACGCAATGAGCTTCTTCTGGAGCGCATAGTTTTGCGATCCATCTTCCAACAGCCAACGCTCGGGAAGGAACTCGTCAGGGTCGGGGAAAAGCTCCCTGTTCCAGTGGTTGATCATGGATGTCATACCGATAGGTGTACCCCTTGGAATCACCCAGTCAGACTTGCCATCAGCGGATACATAGTGCAGGTCCTCCTGGCGCGCGATTCTGGCAGATCGATGAGACACGCCGGGCATCATACGCAAACACTCTTGCAGAACAGCCCAGAAGTAAGGCACCTTCTCCAGCTCAACCCACTTCACAGTCTGTGTGTTGATACCAGCGGTAGCGAGATCAGCCATCAGTCTCTGGTAAATCTCCGGCTTTGCGAGATTCCAGTATGTGAAAACAGTAAGAATAGCCTGCGGTTGCTGTTAGCTCTGGCTCGTTGACGATAGCATTCATCGGGTACTTACAGCAGTAGTTTCGGTGCCCGCAAGCAGGAAGTTGAAGCCTTCACCGTTGTAGCGGAACTTCTCCTCCTCTGACATGGTCTTGTTCTTGCCCATGACCTCAGCGAAAACACGTCCATTCTCGGGGTTCTTCAAGGCCTGGCCAATGTACTGAGGAATGGTCACATTCATGACACGCATGACAGCCTTGATATCTTCACCGAGGTAATCGGCCATGAATGGCAGGACCTGAGCCATCTTTCTGCCCAACGCGTTGTGGCGCATCATATACGCACTCTTGAAGAACGACTTGACCCAGGTTGCGAAGTTCGGCTCCCAGCCTTCCTGAGCAACAAAGCCCATGGGCTCACCGAATGCGTACTGAGAGATGACATCGGCAGTATAGCAGTTGAACGCTTCCTTGACATCGAAAGCGGTCTTGCCGGCATAGGTGAGCATCTTGTCTGCCGTCATTACGGCAAATTCATGCACTTCGCCTTCGAGCTTCAACATCTGTTGGCGCGAAAAGAACTTGCTTAATGGAGCCTTGCGGGCACGGTGGAGGTCATGGTCGACAGTCGAAAATCCAGTTACCGAAACAGGTCCGGCTCCTCCAGTGTTCAATTGATGCTGCCACTTGTCGCGTGGACGTCCAGGACCGGCATAGATCTCATCCGTGAAGGCAGGGTCGGAGCAGTGTAGTTCGTCTGGGTTTATGCGTACGATGGGTCCATATTGCTCATGCATGCGGGCGATGACTTTTCCATAGCGTCCTCCAAGCCACCAGTCGTGGTACGCCTCGTACAGGTAGGTGGCAGCTGCGATCTTCGGGCCAGGGAATTTGGCGAGTGGATGGAAGGGCGAAATGTTGTATAATGCAATGGCAATTCTATAGCCGACCCAGAGTAGGACGAGCCAAGCCACCATCGCGAGTGAGAAAACTGACTTGGAGCCCTGGGAAAGGCCCGAATGGTCGTCCATGTTGGGGAGGTTTGGCAGTTTGGCGAGGCACAACTGCACAAAGGGGAGAACGTGATTGCATGGCGATGTTTCAGCGAGGGCAATGGTATATACCGGTGTGGTGTCTCTAGGCGACTGATAGCTCAACAGGGACGATCCTTTCTGCTTCCAATCGCTGGCTTTTGCAGTGCATCCGCACCTGGCGATAAAACGAGCATCGCATGTGCAGCGCCGAAGATGCTCCGTATCGACTCCACTAGGTTTTCATTCAGCGATCGACCATTGGTGCCCCAAGACCCTGGAGGACCATAGCGCCACGTGGAAAGGAAGTTAACACGCCCAAGTGGAGATGCGCGCTGTCCACAGCGGGAATACTGTCTCTTTTAGTTAAGCTGGTTTGGGACTCAAAATTCTTCACTATGAGACCCATGAGGATAAGAAAGGGACAACTTCGCCGATGTATGCGCACAGATGGCGCATTTAGGTCTAGGTACCCGAGGACCTGGGATAGGGCTGTAGAAAAGATCGGGGAACCTGCATTCTTCTATTTGTTTTCGAGAATTTGGTCGCCAGGCCTCCTGCCTCAGGCAGAATACGACTCAGGCCAGTCATGAACCCTGACAACACGTGTGGAGCCGAACATGAGGTCTCCTGCTTATCCCCTGCTTATTCATGCAGCCAATGACCCTCGAGTCGGAAAGTTGCGGCGTGCCGCCTGTCATAACGGCAAGCGGATGAGGCGCCCGGCAGTGGCCCTTGGCGCTGTGGGTCAATACCTGGCCTAGACTGTTTCACCGTCGGCGACTCTCCGCCGGCACGTTACCAGTTCTTTTCAAGCCTCAAGTCAGTCTCTTCGTTACGACTCACGCTGCATGATTGCTCGAGATTGATGGCGCTTCATTACGATCGTCACCTCGCGTAGGTCAACATTGCTGCATGCGTATCCGGGGAACGCGAACGCACATCCGGAGGGAATAGTTCAGGTGTTCGGCCAACGTTTGTGGCAATGATCCTTACGATCTCCACTGTTGAACGTTGACAGGCAAGGAACTCTTTTCGGTCCGCCGGGCTAGGCCCGCTAACCCAACGGGTATGCCATCATTACGAAAGCCAAAACAGTTTTGACGAAGACAGGAGACGGGAGACATGGATCAGGTTTTAACAATACACTGTTGCCCCGACTCATCGCCCCGACTTCATCTCTTCGTTCTTTCCCTTTCTCCAGTTCTCACGACAGGACCCACTCTTTTAGTACTCCGTTCATTACTTCGCATCTCTCCGGACTTCGAGTGATAGCTTTGGATCGGGGTCTTGCCTCCGCAGGTCAGGATGGTGGAAACAATCGATATAGCGATGGCCCGGAGCGGTCGCGACTCCATGATAGCGATGTCATGTCTGTGGCTGCTCTTCGCCTCAACTGTTGCCCTTCGATTCTATGGACGCATGCGTGGACCTGGACTCGCACTGGATGACATCTTCGCCGGTGTTGCGCTGCTCTTGTCGACAAGTACTATCGGCCTGAATGCCTACGGTATGCATCAACCTCGTGGATAGGCAGAACTCATATTAACATCCAAGCAGTCTTCACGATTGGCGTTGGTTACGACCTAGATCCTACCTCTGACAAATTCCCCAAGCGTAAGTCTGCTCTGGCGGCTATTACATCCGGTGGAGATGGTGAACTAACCACCTAATAGTGATGAACAACCTCCCGGTCGTCATGCAGATAACCTTTTCCTTCACTTTGATCTACATCTGGTGTCTTGCGGCTCTCAAGCTATCTCAACTAGCCCTCTACCACCGCGTCTTCCAACTGCAACTGCGCCTTGCAGTCTACATTACTGCCGGCATAGTCATTGCATGGGCTGTCATCTTCAACTTCGTCTTTATCTTCCTCTGCGACCCCATCTCCCAACAATGGACCCTTCAACGAGTTGGACACTGCATGGATCAGATCTTGTTGCTCAAGTGTCTGATTCTGACAAACATGGCGACCGATCTCATGATCGTAGTCATCCCAATCCATTGTGTATGGCAGTTGCAGATGCGAAAGACGGAAAAGTTTGCCGTGTTGGCTTGTTTCGGTTTGGGTCTCGCTTGCGTGGTTATCAGTATTGCGCGTTTCGTTCTCATCTTCACCGTCGGTAAGTACTCTCGATCTGACGAGAAAGAGAAACACCACTGATAGTTTGCAGATCTCATTAACAACCTCACTGGTACATCGGGCACCACATTCATGCTTTGCACCGTCGAGCTCATGCTGGCTGGTCTCTGTATCAACATTCCCATGCTGCGCCCCTTCTACCTCCAGTGGCGCAAGACGTACAAGAGCCAATCAGGAAGCCACAACCTCAGTGCGATCAAGCGGTCGAACACTGGTGGACTGGGGTCGCACCAGCAACCAAGGCCTGGGCACTACACCCAGTGGATGGAGTTGGTAAGTCTGATTCAATGTCTTGCGACACAGAATACAAGACTAATCAGATGCAGCACGACAAGGATCAAACAAACATCACCGTCACAGGCGACGATGCCAGCTCGGAACGAAAACTCACCGCACCAGAGCCACTGCCTTTCGACGCGATACAGATATCCAAGGATTTCAAGATTACCCGAACCTAAGTATAGAGTCGACTCAGCATCGCCATACCCGTATCAAGATAGGCAGTTGGGTCTCCGACGCGATCATGTGAAAGACGAAGCGTGGACCCAAAAGACAGCGGTATGCCCTATAGCGGCATTCACACTCGCCCGTCGCAACGTCGGTGATAGTCACTGCGCAGCTGCCCAGAGCCACGTCGAAAGATGTTGCAGAGAAAAAAGTTTTAGGACCTGGCAAATCCACCGCGCAAGGAAAATGGGACCATCCAGCAGCAATCCAGATTGCAGCACATGTACAATATAATGATATGAAGTCTAGTAATGCAAGAGACGAGAACAAAAGTCGTGAACATCGCTTCATGGGTGGCTAAGACAATATATCATACCGTGAACATCCCGCGGGCATCGCATCGTTCGTCTCTTTCCGCGCCCCATGCTGATCGCAGGGTCTCGCCCACGATAATGCACGATATGTAGATCAATTCGCGCGGAGTTCTCACCGACAATCAAGACCCATCAGCAGTTCGCGCATCACGCACGGTTTATAGGTTCGCCACCCACATCTCAAACGGCCCGCTGCGATGATGCGCTGTCTAATACGAAATCGCGAAAATCAACCTCCCCACTCCCCTCCGCGAATATACCGATAATCGGTCCTACGAAATCTTTGTCGCTCAGGTCCATTGTGGGTACTTGGGCAAACTCCTTGGGCTCTCCACTGTCGGCGCGGTAGGATAGCTTATAATCGGTCTCTGTGTAGTCGAATAGGAGCTGCAGAGACTGGGGTGCGGTGTCTAGTTCGGCGCTCTCTTCGCGATCGATGCCCTTTGCTTTGTTCAAGACGTGGAGTTGAATGGTAGGGGAGGAGCCGCTCTTCGAGGTCATGTAAGATAAAGAGAGGAAGCGATGTTCGTCTTTGTATACCGCTAGTCCTGCGGTGATCGGTGTGGAGCTGGGTGCGGGAGGTAGAAGAGTGACGCTGCTTCTTCCCTCCAGGTGACGTTGACGTTTACCAACAAATGACGGCGACGCATTAGCAGACTTCAGACCGTCTGGAGAAGCGGTGAGCGTGATTTGCCTGTCGCTGATCTTGTAGCGCGACAGCTCGGGGTCGTGGATGTAGAGGAAGTCAACGCCAGGTGCGGCGGTAAGTCTCCTCGATGGATCCGGTACAACACTCAAGTTCTCGATGTTCATCTTCGCGCGCTCGAAACTGAGCCAGCCATCATCACTCCACGTCCCTCTTGTAAGGAATGTTTCGCGTCCAAGTCCGTATAGATTGGGAGCGCCCATTCTAATTCCGAGACAAACACCCCACCATTGCCCTTCTTTGTCCTCGAAAGCCTCGCAATGACCTGTGGCTTGTACATACTCATCCGTTCCTGCAGCGCTCAATATGGGGTTCTTGGGCGATGCCTCCCATGGGCCTTCGAGACTCTTGCTTCGCGCCATGGTGACGCTGTGCCCCTCATGCGTACCTCCCTCCGCAATCATCAAGTAGTAGAACCCATCTCGGAAGTATATGTGTGGGCCCTCAGAATAGATACCACCGGTGCCATGCCACAGTTGCTTCTCCTCGCTCAACTTCTTCCCTGTCTTGACGTCGATTTCGAAGAGCGTGATCTTGGTTTCCGGACCTGGAGACTTGGAACCGCAGAGATACGCCTTCCCTGTGTTGGGGTCGAAGAACAGGCTGGGGTCGATGCCGTAGAATTCGAAGTAGACAGGGTCACTCCATTTGCTGGCAGGGATATCTGTGGTGGAGATGATGAAGTTCTGCAGCATACTTTCCTTGCTCTCTTCACCGTCATTCACCACGTTCGTGCACACGATGTAGAAGGTGCCATCGTGGAACCGTATGGTTGGTGCGTAGAGACCACCTGTTGCGTAAAGGTGATCCTCGTTGTCCAGACCGTGGACCAAGGTAGAGGACTTGGAGAAGCTCAGTTGTTCACGTCGGTTGATTGCATTGCCAATCTGGTGCCAGTGAATGAGATCCTGTGATGTATAGATTGGCAGACCAGGGAACAAATGGAACGTTGAGTTGACGAGGAAGTATGTGCCATCGACGAGGACCAGCGAGGGGTCTGGAGCAAAGCCTCCAATGATAGGATTGGTTGCCGTAGTGTCTTCCATGTTGGTGGTGGCGCTACTCCAGAATATGCTCTGAGATACGAACCAAGTTATCTACCCAGGAAGAGGGATCATAGACTATTCTTGGTGCGCGCGAAGGCGTATAACGTGCTAGTAGTCGTACGGTTGGCACAACGATATTATGCCCGCCGGGTAAATGCACACGATGGTCGCGTGAATGATCCTTGGCCCTACTGCGCCATCTCTTGTCGGTAACATGTCACGCTTCCGTCCAAGAGTGCATGAAACAAGCCTTGGAATGCGGAATTGCTTCTACGAAGGTATCTAGTGGTATGTATAAGCGTTGGCAGAAAGATGTACTTGCCGAGGTACGTTCGACATCTCTAGGGGGGTTTGTGTGCTTGAAGACTCATCAATGTGTCGTGAACATGATCGACATGCCGCAGTGAAAGGGTCCAGGACCCAGGTGGAAGGAACGACCCCGGGACAAATGAAACTCGAGTGTAAGGTGTGGCAATTCCCGAAGCTGTGGTGTCTAGACGCGCTCTTGGTAGCGCTGGTAGTCGCGCAAGCCATGAAGTGTCTGGGAGTTGGCTGGGCTGTCATCTGATCCGAGATGAGGATCCAATCAGAACATCGTCTACTAACTGCGTTGGGTGTAGCGACCGAGAACAGCCCCACATTCCGAGCATTGGCAACAAGACACCGGCAATACAGGGCGGCAATACTCACTGTCTCACGTCCAAACTCATTCAAAAGGCCTGATAAGGTTCATCTTTAGCCGGTACAACCCCATGGGGTTGCTCGCACGACTAGTTGGTTTCCCCGCATTCGACTAAGGGCTTAGTGGCATGCCTCCAGACTGGTTCACTTCGGCCTCATTCCACGATGCCTAGAACTATCAAGACCGCAGCGCCTTGGTGGCGCGAGGCACAACAAAACAAAACGAGAAATGAGTGCTTGAATGCGGGACAAGGTAAGGCAAATATGCACATTCACCCTGCTTGGCTTCATCCCGAACCCAATTTTGGCTATTGAAGCGTGCCTGGGAAGATGGGTGAGATCTGAGTAGCTGGGATGGCATGTATCGAAGATAATGTACGTGGCGCGGTGTTGAGGGTATATATGCAACAGTGACCCATGCAGCTCATGGCTTCTTCTTGCAGCGGCATCCCCATTGTCTTTCTTCGCAACAGCAACATCTACCTTTCAAGATGGTATCCTTCCGCCCACCCAAGACCACGCAGAGCGCTGTGCCCCTCAAACCGCCGAAAGGGCACTTCTTCTTCGCTGGCCGTGCCTATCCAAGAGTCGCATGGTGGAAGCGAGCCAACCTCCGCAGACTCTACATCTACATTGTCGTTCTCATCTTAACGAATACCGCCAATGGCTTCGACGGATCCATGATGAATGGTCTTCAGTCTCTGACTTACTGGCAAGACTACTTCGGTGAGCCTCGCGGGGCTATGCTCGGCTTCTTCAACTCATCCATGTCCCTCGGCTCACTCATCGGTCTCTTCTTCACCCCCTACCTCATTGATTGGAAGGGTAGGAAGATTGGTGTGGCGATTGGCTGCGTTATCATGTTGATCGCTGTTGCCATCCAGACTGGAGCGCAGAACATCGGCATGTTCATTGCTGCCAGACTCATCCTGGGTTTCGGAGACACCATCGTTCTTGGATCCGCGCCGTTGTTGATCGCAGAGATCGCTCATCCACAGGATCGTGCTATCTTGGTTACACTCTCTGGTGCGAGCTACCACTCTGGAGCCTTCATCGCATCCTGGGTGACATACGGAACGCTCCAGCTAAAGGTACGTCAACTTCTCACCCTTGTGCATTCTACTGTCTCTCTTTCACAAATAATTCGTCTAACACTTTACAGAGCGACTGGTCATGGCGACTCCCATCTCTTCTGCAGTCGATCTGCTCCCTCATTATCCTCGGCTTCATTTTCTTCATGCCCGAGTCCCCACGTTGGCTGTGCAACAAAGACCGCCACGAGGAAGCCCTTGCCATGTTCGCCCGCTGGCACGGCGAAGGCAACGCTGACGACGAGTTTGTTCAACTGGAATACGCCGAAGTGCGCGCTGCCATTGCTCTTGACAGGGAGCACAACCGAACCAGCTGGTCCGACTTCCTGAAGACCAAAGGCAACCGCAAGAGGATCATTATCATCACTGCTATTGGTTTCTTCAGTCAATGGAGTGGTAACGGTCTGATCTCGTATTACCTCAAGTATGTCATGGACAACGTTGGTCTCACAGATCCCCAGACACAACTTGGGATCAATGGCGGCATGAAGACCTTGGCGCTGTGCGAGAACTTCCTCTTTGCCTTCTTGGTTGACAAACTTGGTCGACGTCCGATCTATCTTATCTCCACGATCGGAACGTTCGTCATGTTCAACATCTTCACAATCATCTCTGCCCGATACGACATCGAGCCTCGGGCCCCTCTCGGCAAAGGCTTCATCGTCAGTATTGTAAGTTTTACCTGCTACTCCTCGACCGTTGGACCGACCGAGAACGCTATGCTGACCTTGACATGCAGTTCTTCTACGGTATCTTCTACGATATCAAGTCCGGTATCATGGCAGGATACACTACTGAGATCCTGCCATATGGTCTTCGCGCCAAGGGATTCACATGGCTCAACTTCTGCGTTACAGCAGCTCTCTTCTTCAACCAGTTCGTCAACGGCATTGCGCTCGACGCACTCGCGTGGAAGTACTACATCTGCTACTGCGTCTTCCTCGCTTTTGAGATCGGAGTCATCTACTTCTGCATTGTAGAAACCAGGTACACGCCCATGGAGGAAATCGCCAAGTTCTTCGATGGCGACGATGCTGTTGATGTCGGCGAGGCTGCGTTGATGGACGTCAAGGAGCAGGGTATTGCGCGTGGAGAGAAGGACGGGTCTGTGTCGCACATCGAGGAGATTACAAAGTAAGAGGGCTGCGTCGCTGAGCTGGGTAGCGTGTATGTGATGCCGGACAATTCGTTACGCTGAAATGATACGTATCAAACTTGATGAGCAACCTCTGTGCCAAATTCTCGCCTTCAGCGGGCGACTGATCTCACCTAATGCGATGGTTCAGTTGCTGTCGCACGACAGAGTCGACCAGGGTGAACACTGTGCAAAGTTCAAAAGCAGATTGCGCGCACGAAAGCAGTGTCATGGTGCAGGGAATAGGGTTCTAGTACAGCCGATTGGCCTCTGAGGAGACTTCGGCTGGTGACGAGGCGGGGCCGCCTCGCCAACCTCGCGACATCACGATACATCCTAGCAAGGCTTGACCGCGTCATGCTCAGCACACAACACAGCTTCGAGCGCGCATTACCGCACGTAAGGCAGTCAGTCGCATCGTACATGGCGCTACCAGGCCTCCCACCAAGCACCCGAGCCAGAAAAGCTTGCTGTCCGCCACTGCCAACGGCCCAGCAGGTGCCGATCACCGTATCTCCTGCTTGTTCGAGCATCGTACTTGCGCTAGCACAGGCGCACTACTTTATCCACCTTCCCTAAACATGGTTGTCCCTCGCATAGATGATAATGAAATGGCCGGGTAGCTATCACCGGCGTCATAACTCTGTTCTCTCGTGTTGGGGCAGATATATAGGCGAGCGCTGCCTGACGTGCGCCGTTGCCAGCGACTACGCATCGTCCTACCGGTACCATGCGTTTCTCAATTGCTGTCGCAGCGATCCTAGGCGGCCTTCAGGCTGCTTCTGCGCTCAAGCTTTCGCCCAGAAATGCGGTGGAGAGGGAAGAGCAGGTAAGCACCATTTTTTCTGTTTGTTACATCGATGTAGCGACTGTGCCTCTCTGCATTCAATTGCTTCATGCCTTTCTGCAATATGCACGAGAGGTATGAAAGTATCGATAGGGCCTTTTCGGCATGGAACATCAACATGCGACGAATATCTCATACCTCGGAGATGAGCTGGTGGTAAGCAAATGAAGCTGACACGATATCAGGTGCAAGCTGCACGGACGCGTCGCAGCCTGACCAAGCGCGAAGACACCGATCCCACGTTGCTATACCCGGAGTACAACATCTCTGTGCCAGTCGACTTCTTCCACAACGAGACACGGTACGAGCCTCATAGCAACGGTTCTTTCAACTTGAGGTACTGGTTCGACGACACGTACTACAAGCCTGGCGGACCGGTCTTTGTACTTCTTGGCGGAGAAACCGATGGAGAGGGTCGTCTCACCTTCCTCCAGAAGGGAATTGTCCACCAGGTCATCAAGGCTACCAACGGTCTCGGTGTCATTCTTGAGCACCGTTACTATGGCAAATCTTTCCCGGTTCCCGATCTGACGACACCGAACATGCGATTCTTGTCGACTGAGCAAGCGCTTGCTGAGGTTGATTACTTCGCTAGGAATGTGAAGTTCGAAGGCATTGACGCGGACCTGACTGCGCCGAACACCCCATGGGTCGTTTACGGCGGTTCATACGCTGGTGCCCAGGCCGCATTCTTGCGAGTTGTATACCCAGAGACTTTCTGGGGCGCAATCTCTTCTTCTGGTGTAACTGTTGCGATCTACGACTACTGGCAGTACTTTGAGCCAGCTAGGCTATACGGTCCTCCAGACTGCATGAAGAACACGCAACTCCTAATTGACGTTGTTGATGGCATTCTTATCCGCCAGAACGACACCTCCAAGGTTCAGGCACTCAAGGATGTCTTTGGCATGGGCGGTGTTACTGACAACCGTGATTTCGCTGGCCAGATTACTGGTGTCTACGGCCTGCAAAGCACCAACTGGGATCCTGAGGAGAACTCGCCCTCTTGGTTCAACTACTGCCAGAACATTACCGCAGAAGAGCCCGCAGGCGAGAACCTGCGCCCAGCGGTTGCGGAACTCGTTTCGGCGGCCGGCTACACCAACGACACCGCCGTGCAGAACATCACCCTCAACGCTATTGCTTGGCTCAACAGCACAGCTCTCTCTGGATGGCGCCGTTCGAATAGGACTCAGGACTCGTACTTCACCCAGCTCAACGTTACTGCGCTCCAGCAATACACTTCTATCGAAGACTACGGCGCTGTGAGCTGGAGCTACCAAGTCTGCACAGAGTGGGGTTACATCCAAACCGGAAACACACCCGCTGATATCATGCCGCTCATCTCACGTACCCTCGATGTAGAGTACCTGACCTTCTTCTGCCGCGCACAATTCGGCATCAACCACCCTCCGGAGATTGAGCGTGTCAACAAGTACGGAGGCTACGACATCGACTACGAGCGTCTTGCCCACCTCGGAGGTAACGCGGATCCGTGGAGGCCAGCAACCCCATTGTGGTACCCCGATAGCAGGAACAGCACGACGGAGCGCCCGTGGCATCTGATCAGCCACGGTGTGCACCACTGGGAGGAGAATGGTATCTTTGAGAACCAGACAACTCCTGATCTGCCACCACCGCAGGTCGTCTATGCGCAACAGTTCCTGAAGAACTTTGTCGTAGACTGGCTCGAGGGTAAATTTTCGAAACTACACGAATTTGTCTGATCCACCCACTAACGAGACGTAGAGTTCGAGAACCAGAAGGAACACATGGAGCTGCGCTAAGCCTGAAAGGCCCTCGCTGTTCAAGTTCATAGCTCTACACCGTCTTGCTATACAAGACCTAAAAGCCTAGCCTTTAGGTCACGTCAGCTTCGGTCCATCACTATCAACAAATCATATCAATTCTTTGCAAACATCAGCTTACCCCCGTGAACCCATGAGATGCAAGCCGCGCGTTATGCTGAAGCCCATTAAGATAGTGTGGTTGAAACTATATGTTCATCAACCGCTAACTATGCCCATATAAACATGCTCTCGATTCCCATCCCTCAATTCTTTCTCTAATACCTCTACGCCACAGTATTCTGAATCCACCCCTGTCCCTCACTCTCCACAACCTCACCCCCCGTACTCTCGCCCACCCTAACCGTAACATTAAACCCCGTAACCGTCGCACCCCCACTAGCCCCATACAACGAATAAATCCCCGCATTCAACAGAATATCCTTGCCCTGATACGCGTCCATCGCCAATCCCGCGGGTACAGTTGCAGTAATAGTAACGTTTTCCTGCCCCTGGTTGCTCTTCTCAGGACCGAGGTATGCGGATTGCGTGAAGGATCCGAGGGTGCCCGGGTAGCCGGGGGCGAGCGAGAAACCCCATGCGACGGCGACGTCGGCGACGGATTGGATGTAGCCTTCTGAGAGGAGGGTGAGCGTGAAGGTGCTGTTGGGGGCGAGGGTGGATGGCGCGGCGATGCCGATGAGGCGGCTGGATGCGAGGGTCGCGGATGTGAGAGCTGTTGTGAGGGTGGAGAAACGCATTTTGGTGGTTGACTAGGTAGACACCGGAGTTTGGTGATGCGTGATGTTCGTTTAGGAGGTAGAAATTGTTGTGATGTGGTTTTGTACGCAAGACGGAATTCGCTCGGTGAGGTGATGTAAGATGGGTTATATACCTCCTCCCTCTCCGCTACTTATAATAGCAAAGCATCTACCGAAAGCGGACCGATACTACTGAAAGCTCCCACCATCTCATATCGCATCATACCATGCAGCGTCACCTTTCTCCACAAAAGCTCTGGTGTCGGAAGATTGTTGTGCGAATTGTCCTGGTCATGGGCTCGTGCAGATCTCCCGGCGCAGCCACGGCGACCACTCGGGCGGTGTGTAAACTGCCGATCCCTTCGACATGGTCGCTATTTTGAGCGGGATACGAGGATGGTCGAGCCGTAGGTTCCGAATTGTTGTACGAAAAGTATGGTGTTTTGGAGAGGGTACGTCATGCCGGTTAGTGGAAGCGGAGTGGACGTGGTGGAGCTCGTACAAGTGGCGGAAATAACGTCATTTCGACTTAGGATCCCCTTTCGTCACGACACGAATCTCGTATTGTTGAACTTTTGCATTAGCAACCACACACTTTTACGGTGCTGCCTTCCACCTCTTATAGAAAACTGTAGGAATTTAGAATAGACTGATTTGCTATTGCTATGGAAACCACGCTATTTAACAATCATGAAGAAGAGAAACATCCAAACCGGCTGCTTTAGATCTTGTAATTCTTGCCATATACCTCTTTTTGGCTCGTTGCAGGCTTCCACTCAAAGTGGTGCTTGCCCTCCATTGGCTTCTTGACATTCGCGTCTGTATCACCCTTCTTGTCGAACATGTGGCTACCAAAGTAGTCAAGCTCGGCTTCGTAGAATGACGTGGGCAGGTCGGTACCGCTAGCGACCTTGAAGTACTCCAGGGTAGCACTGATGGCCGGTACGACTTGGTCGGTTTCTACAGCCTTGGCGACTATCCGACGAAGTGCGGGGAAGCAATTCTTGACGTCCTTGGCCACGCGAGTCGAGAAGTTGAGGTTGAGGTTTTCCGGAGATGGATTGGATTTGAGGATCGGCGCGAGAATCTCATCGGAGATGTAGTCTGCTTGGATAATACATCCTCCGCGCCAGATCTGCCAGACTTGCGAGTAGTCAATTTCCCATTTGTTCTCCTGGTCTGCTTTCGCAATGACATTCATGCCTTGGATGTAGCTGGCGAGGCACGACGCATATGTTGCCTGTCTGAGATCTTCGAGGAAAGCCTTCTTGTCCGTAATGTTCAGTTGACTAGGGGGGAAGCCTCCGTCGGCGGCTTTGCTGGCTTGCTCACGATCACCGCGGAAAGCGGATGCGAGGCGGAACGCATGCGAAATGTTGAGAGTGAAGGCCGGGACGTGACGCTCGATAGCTTCAGTGTTGCTCCACACACCAGTACCCTCCTCGCTAGTGACATCCTGGACCACCTTGTCGAGGACTTCCGAAATGACAAGAGGAGGTAATTGGGTATCTTTCTGGTTTGCTTGGTTGGGCTTATCGCTTGAGTCGCGTTTGTGGGATAGATCTGCGCCAATGGAAACGAGGAAAGTGCCGCGCTATTCGCAAGTCAGTTCAGTAAATCCATAATGTCTTGAGTCGTGAACATACCAGTTCGCCTTCTGAGTTCCACTGAGAGAGAACATCGCCAATCTCTTCGTACCCCATTCCCATCTTTCGCATGATGCCCCAGGCCTCACAGATAGCGCTCATCATGCCATGCTCGATACCGTTGTGCATCATCTTCACGTAATGTCCTGCTCCACCCTTGCCGATGACACCCACGCAAGGTTTCTCGTCCTTGTCTTTGGCTGCGACCTTCTCCAGCAACGGAAGGACTTCTTTGAGCGCAGAGATGTCACCGCCAGGACACATGGAAGGTCCAGCTCTTGCTGCCTGGTATCCACCACTGACACCACAGCCAATGTATCGGATGCCAGTGCCCTTGCACTTCTCCTGTCGCCGCTCGGTGTTCTGGAAGTGTTCGTTTCCGCAGTCTAGGATGATATCGTCGCGGGAGAGATGTGGCTCCAGACCTTCAAGGACTTTGTCCCCGACGCCGCCATGTGGGAGAGAGAAGACGAGTAAGCGTGGTGTGGAGAGTGATTTGCAGAGGGTATCGTAGTCTGTTACCGCATTAGTCTTGGAGTGCATCGACGTCCAAGGATTCCGCCTACCATTGAATTTCTCAACTTTTCCGTTGTAGCCTTGCTTCTCAGCCTTCTCAATGACTGCATCCATTGCCTGCTCTGAAGGGTCTGAAAGCGAAACATTGACACCGTCCTCGGCGAAAAGCAGGGCCATTCCACCGCCCATGCTTCCGCATCCGATCATGGCGATCTAACATAATCAGTTCTGCTAGGAATCACATGAAGAACGGGACATACATTTGTGAACTTGGACATGATGTTAGTTGAGGTTCTCCTCTTCTTGTCGTGAACGGAGAGATATCAAAAGCGAGCAGCCTAGGATGACAATATACAAGTATGTGAGGGAGGAGAAGGACGGGAGCGTCGGATCGGCGTAGTGTACGAGATTGTCGAGAAACTGGAGCATGATGAAAGGCGCGGGTCAAGGGCGTGTCATATAACAATTGAGTGACGTCGGCGGGGGTGTAGCTGGACCTAGCTCACTGCTAAAGAATGGCTGGACGGTGGCCCTTTTGTCTGCTTCTTTCCGACAGTGCCGTGAGGGGTGGGGTCGTCAGCCATGATGTATGCAGGAAACAGGCACTGCATGTAAGCGTCGGACTTGGGGCCAGACACAGGGCAGGCGCGTTGAGAGAGAGAGCGAACCTGGGTCGCGTAAGTTGGGATGGAGCCGCTCTTCCACTAGCGCGAACCGCCTCGACTACGGAAACATTTGGCGACGCCGAGAGCTCAACAACGCCCTCACCACGATATCCAGTCTACACCACCCACCGACCAATTACATTCTGCGACCATGGCCGACACCACAGAAACCATGGACATTGACCAGCCCGACGTCGCGACTGACGCCAAGCCGACCACCGACAGCAACGACGCGCGCACCCAGGCAGGCGCGACAGCTGTGCGCTCCATCGAGGGCTGGATCATCATTGTCACCAATGTGCACGAGGAATGTACCGAGGAGGATCTTCAGGACATGTTCGGCGAGTTTGGTACCATCAAGAATCTGCACATGAACTTGGACAGGAGGACGGGTTACGTCAAGGTACGCGCCTGAAATTGGTGGTTGTGACGAGGAAGGAAAGAGCGATGGGGGACTGACATCACACAGGGCTACGTGCTCATCGAGTATGCTACTTTGGAAGAAGCGAACGCCGCTGTCAAGGGCGCCAACGGCGAAGAATTTCTCGAGCAGAAGGTTACCGTCGACTTCGCCTTTGTACGACCACCGCCAGCCAGCAAAGGACGGGCGCGCGACCACGACAGGCGCCAAAGCGGACGTGGGGCCGGAAGAGCCAGGAGCAGGAGTCCTGGACGCGACGGAGACGATATGGACGACGAGTAGTTCCTAGGCGGAAGTGGCATTCAAGCCGCTTGATTTGTTAAACATGCTCTCGTAAGCACCAGGGAGAACAGAAGGGTATGGTCCAAGAAGTCCAGCATCTGCTGCGCTCGCCATTCAGAGCTGTCTCGCAATACTAGCTCCCCGGCTTACCTCCGCGTGGGGTAGGCCGGGCTTCCACATGATCACTGTAAGTGCGCAACGATTACGACTTGCATTGGCCTGGACTAATCCATCTACAGATTATCCCGCCTATGTTTGACAAAACGTGACCACACCGTCTCGCCGCTCCGGTAGTAATAGCCACGACACATCCGGTCTACATGACGTCTTTTGAATCGGGTGTGCCCATGGCCGACCGCGCCTGCGCATCGTTCGAGCTCTCCACTTCAACGTCTCCGTGTGCCCGGTCCTCAACTGTAGCTACCAGGAACTTCCTAGTACTATCACACCTCACAACTTCGCAGATTCTGAGTAGCTCGCCTCATACTACGAGGCGCCTGTACCACGAGAACCACGAAGCCACTGGTCTATGTGAGACCAGAACACATTGTAGCACGCGAAACATAGTATAACTTGCCTGCTCGCACTCTCCAAATCTTCTTTCTTTATCTCCATCCGTCAATCAGAATTACAACATGCTCTTTTCCAACTCCTCCCTCACCCACCCATAGCGAGCCGAGATGTCTACGATTCCAACGATACCTAGGTAAAGCAAAAGATCATCTCCTGGTGGATCTATGATAACGCCTGTAGACATCACACCACTCCCTACTCAAAACTCCAACACGACCTTCCCCACACTCTTCCCACCCTCAATAATCCCATGCGCCTCTCTCAGCCCCTGCTCATCCATCCTCAACCTCCGCCTACAATGACACTTCACCGTCCCCTGATCCAGCAACCCCGCCAATTCCTCCAGTATCCGCCCATGACTCTCCACATCAACACCATAATACGGTTTCGTGCCCAGCAACGCCCACACAAACGTCAGACTCTTTGCCATGAACTCCGTGCCGTACATGGGCATCTCTTTGTCTTGAACAATAGAGCAGACTTTTCCGAAAGGAGCGCAGATTTTGGCTGCGGGGGCGAGATAGCCGGATGTAGGTGTGTGCGTGATGAAAATGTATTTGATCGGTACATCCAGCTTCAACTTCTCAACTTCGTCCGCGAGGTCGTTGTGGTGGTTAATCGTATGCGTAGCACCTCCTACGTCTTTTGAGAAAGCGACTGTCTCTTCTCTAGACGCCGTGGTGACTACAACGGGTAAGTCGAGTACCCTCCGTGCAATCTGACTCGCCACACTGCCCACGCCTCCCGCGCCGTTGATGATCAAAATACCAGCTTTCTCACCCTTTTGTATCTCCATCCGCTCGACTAGTGCTTCGTAAGCCGTTATCCACGTCAACGGCATAGCAGCCGCTTCTCCCCAATCCAAACTCTTTGGCTTGAGCGCCACGGCTCGCGAAT